CATTTGTAACATCTCAAGTCCACCGCTAACAAATATTGTACTTTTTAACCTTTCTCTTATGGGTTTTCCCTTAAGGTTTTAAAACCCGTTTACGAGATTTACACACGCTTAAAAGAAATGTTTAGTTTCCTCCCCAAAGAACATGGATTTCACATCAACAATAAAATTATACCAAAATTAAAATTTTTATTTAATCAAAATAAACTAATTGAAACAGCATGGCATTTTTTTTTTTTTTTTAACAATAATGGAAAATAAGATTTGAACTTAATCGAGAATAAATGTTTTAGGTAAATTGCTGGTGTTGACAAAATAACTTAATAATTGAGGATAATGACGTTGAATAATATTTTTTTAAAAAAAAATTACATAATTTTTTTTATATATAGTACAAGAATATATTAATTAATAGTTTGAAAAATATAAATAACAAATTTTAATAAGGCATGTGAGTAAGCATAGCAAATGGGGTGGGACCCAATGGAAAATATATGTGGAGAGAGATGGTGGAATTGGCGCACTATGATTGGTGGGAAAAGTGTAGGAGAGAGAAAACAAAAAAAGAAGGAACGACAAGTCGGCAAGGACCAACAAAAACGGAAACGCGCCATCGACATAACAACCCAACAGATTCCGGGAAAAACAAATAGAAAACGAAAGCTGACGTGGGACCAGTCAACACGTGGCCAGTAAAAACCAACAAGTGGGACCCGCCATGGATAACCAAGGACCGTCGATTTGACGGTGAGATTAAATTAAAAAAAAAAAAAAGAAAATTGACGCCAATGTTTGGTCTCATTAATACGTGGAAGAATCTGGTGTCAGACACATCACCGTCACTCCAACAGGTGCGGACAAGAGGATTCCCACTGATTATTTTTATTTCCACGTATTATTTTCCAAAACAAAAATAAACCAATAATAGTTTTCATTGTCTCAACAACTGTCCACTTGGATTTTTCTCTAAAAATAAAAATTAATTCGTTTTTTATTAGGGCTTACGTCAGATATATATAAAAATGGAATTAGAAATATTAATAATGGTGTCATTTCTTAAATAACATATTTATTTCTCTTAGACGACATTATAATTGAAAATAAAAGCTTTAATTAAGCAGTGTATTTAATTGTAACAAAATAAAATTAAAATTAGAAATCACAACCACCTTAAATATCGAACAAGTTTGTAACTGTCGGGAGAGAAATATTAATTAAATATATATTTTTTTAAATTACAATTTATTTAATTTAACCAAAAAAAAAAAAAAAAGTTATTAATTGGAACATTCATGGCTGGGACCAGAACTGCTGGTGGGTTTAAGGGCAAAGGGGTTTAAGTTGCTAATGCGTTGTCGTTTAATTGAAGTCAAGAAGGACGAGACCCACCTTTTTGAAATTTTGAATAATTTGTTTTTTTTTTTTTAAATAATTACACAAAAATATGTGAAAATAAATATAAGAAAAAAAAATTAAAATTAAATGGACATGGTAGGAGCTGTGTTTTTTTTAATACTGCAGAATTTCCAGCATATGCTAAGATGATATATATAGTAGAAAATGAAATAATAATAATAATAATAATAATAATAATAATAATAATAATAATAATAATAAATAAAAGAAGAGAAATAGGACAAAAGTGTGTAAGTAGGGGCATGGGGAAGATGTTTTATGGTTAGGAAGTCTCAATCAAAAGGCACCCGAAGGTGGTCACAATGTTCGAATTTCTAACATTTTAATTCATGATATATATTATAATCAATTTAATTAGGTTTAGTTTAACGGTAAGTCAAGAATTTAAAATACAATTATTTGAGTTATAATCTTATTGACATATAATATTAGAAATAATAAGAAAATAAAGGAATATTAGTAGATTAGGTTGGATAAGTTGGGACGTTCTTTTAGACCAAACTTAATGTTCTTTTATATGAATGGTTCTGAGTCATTTATTTAAATTTTTATTTTTTTTAATCAAATTAAAATATTAATTTATAAAATATCTCATTAATTCTCAATTTCAAAAAATTTATTTGAACTAATAATTTAACATAAATTTGTATATAAATTTTATAAATATAGAGATTAAAAAGCTGGGAGAGTTTAATAATTTTTTTTTTTTTTAATAAAACTTTGAAAAATCAAAAGAGGAAAAAGCTTGTGACCAAATATTAAGAGGATAATAAATGTAATAGGTCCCGCTCCCGCTAGACTTAAATAGTCCAAAAACAGTAATGGAGCGTTACAAAATAAGTGTTTGAAATTTTAACGTTAGACTTAGACATATTCTTTTAGTTTACACTTCCCCATCACGTGTAATAATCTGGTATAATTAAAAAATAATTTTAGATTAATCGATTATTTTGTAATTATGATTGATAATTATCTTAGTTCAATGTTCCATCTTCAATAACTAGCTCATTAAGTAACTGGTATTAAAGATTGAAATGGTGTTATAATTGTTGATATTGAATTTTGGTAAGTGAGTTTGTATTGTTGAATGATCGAATGTGTTTATAGGATAAAAGAGATTTACGTTCATGTGTTGTGCTAAACCATGTCTCTCCGACGTTCCGACGTTAGAGTCAATAATCTGGTTGCTTATATTGTATAGAGCGATATGTGAATGTTTTGGACGTTTTTTTTTTTATATGCTAAGGTAGTTTAGAAATTGTCATCGTGTTATAATCTCGTCGTTATTTTGGCATTAAGTATGAGAAACAATTACAATGTTTGACTATTGGTAGGTCAAACGTTAGTCTTTTCAATTATTGATCAACCCTTGTTGGCTCAGTCATTTCGTTCTTATGGGATCAAACTCAAAGGCGTCAACCTTGATCATTGGTCTCTTGGGCTTGAGTGTCCTTCTTTGAGTTTGTTTCTCGACATTTAGACTTTTACTCCTAATCAATAATTTCATTCATAACGATTGCCTTCACTCTTGAATATGATACTATAGGGTATATCTAATTCAGAGTCGAGAATACATATTTCAACATTGAGTTATTGTTCGACCGTTTGATCAGGTCAATCACCAAGGCTCTTGAGGCCCCTTATCTAGTCTCATTTTCCTTTTTTCTTCACTATCTTCTCCTCTCACCGGTCAATCATAGCTCACCCTCTAAGGTCAACTTCGACTTAGCCTCTTCTTCGAGATTGACTTTAGGTCATCCTTTTCTTGTCATCAGCTGGAGATTAGCCTCCTTGTAAAAGTTTACCTGAAGTTTTCCAATTATTTTTTTTATATGAAAACTCGAGTATAAAAATAAAAACTAAGATATTTTATTGATGTCGAAACACTGTATTTTATTTATATAATTCTAAAATTTATGAGTATAAATTATTTTTTTTTTCAAAAAATATATTATATTTCTAATTGCTTTTATTCTTACAATATTCCTTATGTTTACTTTGCTAAAATATTATTTTTACATCAAATAAATTAGGAGTAGAAGAATGAGGAGTGGGGAAGGGGTAAATAAAATAGAGTAACTTTTGACCATTGAAAAAGGTAAATGACGTCAGTTACTTTTACCGTGCACTGAATCATCCATGCAACATGGCACCACACCACCACTTTCTTCCACGCGCTCAATTGAGAGCGTCCATATTTTTCAAACTTTTTTTAAAATCCTTTTTTTAAATCATAAAAAATAAGAGATAATAAAAATAACTGGAATCTCAGTTTCAATTAAAGGCGAATTTATATTTTCTTTATAAAAAAAAACACGCAGATTCTAGGGCTGCCACGACAAGGCCGACGCGCCTCAACTCAATATATTTGTGGTTGTGGTACACGCCATCAGTTATTTTAAATACAATACGTAATTTATTTATTATGAGACAAAGAATTATTCCTTGCTACAAATTTTGGAAAGGAATCAAATTCTAATTCATGTTTGTTTTTCATTGATTTTATTTATTTTCTTTAATTACAAATTAGCTAAAACAACACGACATGAAATAAAATGGACTAAAATACAGAGGAAATCGAGCCATAAAACTTGAGAAATAAGAGAAACTCGAGTCATGGCTCAAGCTCTCTACTCAGCCTCGTATAGGACAAGGGTCTAGCATGACCCTAATTCGATTGATTATGGTCTAGCCTAACCCAGTTCATTCTATTCAAAATCGAGAAGGAAACAATGAAACCCTAATAGGTATACAAACACTTTATTTCTACGAGAGAAGCTAAATCCAACAAAGTTTAAAGTTCTTTCTGGTTCTTAAATTCTCATTACACGAATCTTCTCTTCAACCAGCTTTAAGTATCGAAACTGGTGTGATAAACACTAATCGATGTGTAGGTTTTTCTTGTTTTACAGGTCATATTTTATCGCTCAAATAAAATTTATCATGGTTGCCACGTGAAAGTTAATTATATTACTCAAATCCCTCGATTTCGCATGCCTACCCTTCTCACTCAATCCATTATTAGTACATCTTTCTTGTTATATGTCACTAAAAATATCAATCTAATTCATACCCACTTACAAATTTAATAAGAGTTCCAATTCATTCAAAAAATGGTCGTGGTTGCCTAATTCTAAACAAACAATTAATAGTTGATCGAATGGTCATCAATTTAGTTGAAGGTAAAGTGTCAGCCATCAAAGTCAATCACGAAAAAAGTAGTGGAAATACGTGCAAAATAAAAACTTGTTAAATACCCCCTCTATGATTTAAAACTTTGCTTACGCTCATGCTCCATCCCTTAATATAGAGATAAAAACTAAATTGTACTTCATCGTGTATGTTATTGAATTATACATGACAGTGGTCCATGGTTCGTTAGTAAAGTTGTGTGCCAGGTGACACGTGACAACAACTAGCTAGTCACCTAGTAACCTTAAACTAACTCGAAAATCTTGTTTTGGATTAATGTCATTCAAACTACATCGAACCCATGTCTACAGTCGGTTAACATTAAACCCTAAAAAATTAAAAAGAGGGAGAAGAGAATTTGGGAAATTAATAAAATAATAAAGAGGGAAAAAAGAAAAGGGAGGATAAAGATCTTTGTTGTGTTGGTGGCTCCTGGAGATACACTCTTCACTGTTTTCTTCAGATCCAAAGAAAAGGTAAGAAATCCCTTTATATTATCTTCTTTTTCTACAAATTTATATGTTTTTTTTTACTCCTGCTCTCTGCTTTTGGACGCTTGCATGATCTGATGATCCAAAACCTGTCCCTTTCTCTCTCTTTCTCTCTCTCTCTCCTCTTCTCTGTGCTCTGTCTGTGAGTGTCTACGGCTTTTTATCTGCTTCTATGTCGGCCATCCACTCACTCATTCAATCTCTGAACAACAACACAGACGAAGAATCAGACGAACAATACGACGCCCTTGCCTTCTACTTTCTCTAATTTCCCAATTTCCCAATTCCCCTTCTTCCCTCTTTCGTCTTTGTAGGGTTTTCATTTCACTTTTCTCCTCTTTCCACCAATTCCCACTTGGGTTTTGGGTTTCCTAGCCGCTGTCGATCAGGGTGTGTGTGATCTTGTGATTCTGTTCGAGTTTCGAGACGGATTCTGGGTTTTTTTTTTTTGTTTGATTGACCCAATTTGAGTTTATGGGTTTGGAGTGGTCAAACCATGCCGAAGAATCTGCTGGTGAGTCCCTTTGAATTTGGTGGAAATTGGGAAATTTTGATATGATTATGGAGATTTTGGAGACCCATTCCTCTGTTTTTCGTTCTGCAATGTTCTGTTTCTGAGGATTTTGGAATTCAGTTTCTGGGTTCCTTGAATTGAGATGATTACGTTTATGGATTCGAAAGAGAAAGTGAAAGATATGGAGAAATGCTTAGATCCTCAGCTATGGCATGCTTGTGCTGGAGGAATGGTTCAAATGCCGCCGGTGAACGCCAGGGTTTTCTATTTTCCTCAAGGTCATGCCGAGCATGCTTGTGCGCCAGTTGATTTCAGGAACTGTTCTAAGGTTCCTCCATATACCCTTTGTAGAGTTTCTGCTATCAAGTTCCTTGCCGATCCCGACACGGATGAGGTCTTTGCTAAACTCAGGTTGATTCCCATTAATGGAAGTGAACTAGAGTTTGAAGATGATGGTATTGGAAGGCTTAATGGGTCTGAACAGGATAAGCCAACTTCGTTTGCAAAGACATTGACTCAATCTGATGCTAACAATGGTGGGGGTTTCTCTGTTCCGAGGTATTGTGCTGAAACGATCTTCCCTCGGTTGGATTACTCGGCCGATCCGCCGGTTCAGACGATTCTTGCTAAGGATGTTCATGGGGAGACATGGAAATTCAGACACATTTACCGTGGGACGCCTCGGCGACATCTTTTAACGACGGGATGGAGTACGTTTGTTAACCATAAGAAGCTTGTGGCTGGTGATTCCATTGTGTTCTTGAGGGCTGAAAATGGAGATCTCTGCGTCGGGATTAGACGAGCGAAGAGAGGAATTGGAGATGGACCGGAACCGCCGTGTGGATGGAATCCAGCAGGTGGGAACTGTGCTGTGCCTTATGGAGCTTTCTCAACGTTCTTGAGGGAAGATGAAAACAGAGTGAACAGGACTAATGGAAAAGGGAAAGTGAAGGCTGAATCAGTCATTGAGGCTGCTACACTTGCTGCAAATGGGCAGCCCTTTGAAATAGTATACTATCCAAGAGCTAGTACTCCTGAGTTCTGTGTCAAGGCAGGGCTGGTGAAAGCAGCATTGCAGATCCGGTGGTGCTCGGGTATGCGGTTCAAGATGGCGTTCGAAACCGAGGACTCTTTGCGGATAAGCTGGTTCATGGGTACCATAAACACCGTTCAGGCCGCCGACCCACTGCGCTGGCCTGAATCACCATGGAGGCTTCTACAGGTAAATCACTGTTCTTTTTATCTTATATGCATCCATTACAAATCATCAAATGTATATGAAACATTGTTGTTTATAAGCTCATTGCTTGTTAGGATCGTTCAATGCTTATAACTTACCAAAATAGTTCATTTAGTTGGTGATCTTCCATGAATCGTTTCGGTCTTGTTTGCTTATACCATATACTGTCCAGGTTACTTGGGACGAGCCCGATTTACTTCAGAATGTGAAACGTGTTAGCCCGTGGTTGGTCGAATTGGTATCAAACATATCTCCGATTCATCTTGCCCCGTTCTCACCTCCAAGGAAAAAGTTCAGATATCCACAACACCCTGATTTCCCCCTCGATAACAAGCCTTCTATGTCGCCGTTCGCGAGTTATCTCCATGGGCCAGGCAGCCCCTTCGGTTGTCCTCCGGACAACAACCCTGCTGGCATGCAGGGAGCCAGGCATGCTCATTTTGGTCTATCCTTGTCGGATTTTCATCTCAGTAAACTGCAGTCGGGTCTGTTTCCGATTCGTTATCGATCACTGGATCCAGCTGCTAGATCAACTAGACTTTCTGGTAATGCAATGACTGAAAAGCCAAGTATGAGTGAAAATGTATCTTGCTTGCTAACCATGGCGCATTCTACTCAAACGTCGAAGAAATTCGACAACGTAAAGACTCCACAGCTAATACTTTTCGGCAGACCCATACTAACCGAATTGCAGATGTCTCAAAGCTGTTCTGGTGATACCGTTTCTCCAGTTGGTACTGGAAACAGTTCGTCGGATGGAAACGGTTCTGGATCTGCACTACATCAACAAGGTCTACCAGAACGCTCGTCTTGCGAAAATTTCCAATGGTACAAGGACAATCGCCAAGATGTCGAGCCTAACTTGGATACTGGCCACTGTAAAGTCTTCATGGAATCAGAAGACGTCGGTCGCACCCTCGATCTTTCTTCAGTTGGGTCCTATGAAGAATTGTACAGAAAACTCGGAAACATGTTCGGCATCGATAACTCAGAGATGTTGAACCATGTCTTGTACCGGGATATCTCCGGTGCTGTCAAGCACGTCGGCGACGAACAATTCAGGTATGATTCTGCTTCCTTCTGCAACATTGAATCACTACTGTCTCTCGGTGATTAACATGTCGGTTTCGATTACAGCGAGTTCATCAAGACGGCAAGAAGATTGACAATTCTAACAGATTCAGGAAGTAACAATGTAGGAGGTTAGAGGAAGTGATTTTCAAGTGTATAGCTGGTGAATATCAGGTTCTTCGTTTTCCCTGCTGACCTTTGTCTGTTGCAAATCTGGGAGCTGCTAAAGATCATAATGTCGTTTTCCTTTGAAATTGAAAAGTTTTAATTTTTATTTTCTTTTCCCAATCCAACTTATGGAAGGAAAGAGGGGATGTTTGAATTTTGGAAGTTTCTTACATCCTCTTGTTCTGTGATGAACTTTGTGGGGTTTCTTTTTGGGTTCCTTTTTTTAGGTGATTTTAGTTCTTAATGTTAATGGAAGTGGTTTCAAAGTATATGAACTGTGTGTTTGTAAGGATGAAATATGATATAATAACTTAAACGAGTTTTCGTATGTCTGTTCACTCGGACAATGTGTCCGCTCTGAACACGAAAGTGTGCAGTTTCGCCCCCTTCTCCCATGTTGAGTTATAGGCAGCGTCTCGAAAAGCACGAACGAGTCATATGAAGGAAAACTTGCATGCTTACTGTACTAACATGGCTTGCTACATACAAGTATAGCCAAAGAAAGATGAGACGGGATGAATGATCAGATGTTGCAGCGAGACTACCACAAGAAAGAGGGGAAATGGCTCAACAAGCACGGTAGTCTAGTCACCTCTTCGAAGTGGCTTGTCAACTACGCTTTCCTTCCCTCAAAACAATGGTGAGCTTTTCCTAGATTTAGTTTGGTTATTGAGAGTGAAACCGCTATAACGTGACCAACAGTTTTGAACCGTTGAGTTTATGTAGTTTAAAGAAGTATCTCGAGACACGAGCAGGTGGCTACAGTGGTATGTTTAGTACCAATGAATTTAGAACTTATAAAGTTTGTAGAGAAAAGTGTTGGTCACGTGTGGCATGTGTGGGGATTAATTATTTGTAATAATTAAAGATTAAAATATAATTTGTGGGGTCTAGGGATTGAGGATCGTCATCAATTTTGTAAGGGAAACATAAAAGTCAAAACTAATATTTGGTTTTAATTTCGAATAAACAAACAAATTTGTTAAATAAAATTAAAAAAAAAAAACATATATTTTGCTGAGGTGGCGTAGTTCGAAGCGGAAAGGAGTAATGGCACACGTGAGAGTGTGGGACCATTGGAAAGCTTACGTGGCGAGGATTCATTAAAATTCACGTGTGGATGACGTCATCTCTTACAAGGGGGGATGTCTCGCTGCTTGTGTCGCGGCGTTTCGTTGAGCGGACTGTTTGGCTTTGGTTTTACGTTATCATGGCTTGCCTTTGACCGTAAATAATAGGCGGGCAGGCGGGCAGGCGGGCAGGCGGGCAGGCAGGTAACGGGTAGTTGTCGAACCCTCTCGATTAGAGATGTTGCCTCTTTTAGTCTTAGAAACCGAGACAAGCATAGATAATATAATCTTCATTCTCCGTTTCGTTAAATTAATAGCAGAATAAATCTTTTCTTACCTTTTTTTGGTTGGAAACGATTTCTTATATAGTTTTTAAATATATAATAAAAATAAATTAATAATATAAAATATGTATTATCTACTAAGTAGTTTTGTTCAAATTATAAAAAGCAATGAATAAAATAATGTTCCCTTTGTTTTCAGTTATATATTTATTCCACCAAATACGGCGGCGTTTCCGGGAATAGCATTAAAACACAGAGACAACCATGAAAACATGTGTGTGTCTCATTAGGGTTTAGTTTGCTTTAGCCTTACGTCTTAATAAATGCCTCATCTTCTCTTAGTTTTTAGGGTTTTTGAGACATCCAAGTCCCCCAAACCAGGCAAATTCCATGACTAACCCTACAATTAATTAATGCCCTTTCAATATAGGGTTTTTTTTTTCGATCTCATCTCTAGCATATATTATCTTCTTTTATCTTTTTCTTTCGAGCTTCCCCTCAAATTTTAAGCGCGTATATTAGAGAAAGATTTCTACATTCGTATAAAGGAATGTTATGTTCTTCTCTCCAACCAATGTGAAATCTTACATAAACATTTAAGGTGTGGAAACCTCCCTGACAGACGCATTTTAAAATCATGAGACTAACGACGATATACAATAGGCCAAAATGGACAATATTTACTAGCGGTGGGTTTTGCCTGTTACAAATGGCATAAGAGTCAGACATCGAGTAGTGTGCCGGTGAGGACGCTAGGCCGCCAAGGGAGTGGATTGTGAGATCTGGACTAAAGCGAACAATATCTACTAGTGATAAGTTTGAGGCTGTTACAAATGGTATACAGTCAGGCATTGGGCAATGTTCCAGCGAAGATATTGTGCTCTCAAAGAGAGTGAATTGTGTGATTCGAGCGAAAGCAAACAACATTTACTAGCGGTGGACTTGGATTGTTACACAGGACGAGTTGGAAAAATCTTTTGAACCAACTTGAAATTTTGGGTTGGATTGTCAAGTTATTTTTTAAAAATTATTTAAAAAAATCGTAATTATTCACGCCACATTAATAATTAAAAATTCATAAAACTCAAATATTAAATTAATTATATATATCATCAATAAATGAAGCATTATATTCTATAAATAATTGCTAGTGGATATAATAACCTAATGAATTGAGTGTATTCCTTTTGTGCTAAAAATGGCACATGGCTTACATATCTCCTTCTCATTTTTTTTTTTCATAATTAAAAATATTCCTTTGTAATAAATATATTTATAAAGTTAGAATAATTAATTTGTTTGAAAATAAAAAAATGGGAAGGGAAAATAAAAGTTTTAATTTTCCTTTAATGTGTAATTCTTGGTCTATATTAATGTAATGCTAAGTACAAAGTTGGACATGTCCTATTCCAAGGGCCACCTAATGTCACCATACCCTCCACCTTTTGGACTCTTTTCTTTTATGTCATTTTCACCCTTTTAATTACTACATGATGTTGTCTACTCCATTAATTATTTTATTAATAATTTCATGTTTTATTGTTGATTCCTTTAAAAAAAAAAAAAAAAATTAGTCCGACAGTTCCTTCGTAGTCGGAATTATGAATGATGATCCCACGTATGTCACATTTTTGTCTATTGACGGTGAGAAATTGAAAGGTTCTTGCGTTCTCGTATAATACTCGACCTTTTTTAACTATATTTTGTGAGATCTCATATTGATTGGAGAGAAGAACGAAACATTTCTTATATGGGTGTGGGAACCTCTCCCTATAGAAAGCTGATGGTGATGCGTAACGAGCTAAAACAGACACTATTTACTAGTGGTGGACTTGAGCTGTTATGTATTAAGATTCTGTTTGTGACAGGAGAAAAATAAAAAAAGTTTTTAATTTTTTTTTTTTTTTTTTTTTTTTTTTGGAGGGAAGAAAAAAAAAACAACCAACAACCATATTTATGAGCTGTTTTGTATGGTTTTGGTGAAATTGACGTTAGACAAAATAATGTTAAAATTTATTATTATTATTATTTAAAAATAATAATAAAAGATGGAGATGGAAAATGACATTGTTATATTATTTTTAATGGCATTCTGAAACATCACCCGTGCGGTAGGCCCCACATTTTGCTGCCAACTCACGAGTCTCGACCGACATCCCAACATATAACTATCCCGACACTTACCTCCTTCGTTACTCGTAAAGCGACATGTCGTATTTACTTTTCTTTTTTTCTTTTGGAATTTTGTTTACTTTGTTAAGTTACAATTGTATTTTTTTAAAAAATTAAATAATATATTATTGCCAAATATTGATTACTTTTAAAAATTTAATATATTTCCACGTAATTTTTTATTTTAAAATTTAACAAAAAATAAATAAATAAGGGATTTATTTTTATTTAATTTCAAAATAGATAACAAAATTTAAAAGTTAAAGCAATAAATGGAAATTTAAGAATGGCCCATAATGAGATCTGAATGGGCCATTCAAATTAAAAGCCCAATGGGCTTTGACAAATTAGAAATGGGTCGGCCCATACTCGAATGTCCTTCCTTCTTGTATTTGCAGCTTTACCTTTTCGGAGCTACTCGCTGCTCTGTTACTGAAGTGGTGGCGAGCTGTGTCTATTTGAGATGGAGAAGATAATGAATTCATGGACTTTGGATCTTCCTTTTGCTCAGGAACCTTCGGCCTTCAACTGAGAAGCTAAATTTGCTGTACTGGCTCAGCTATGACTGATTAGGGTTCTGGATTATGGTGTGAATGTAAACGAGCTTTTGTAGAGCGAGATGAACGTGAGCCGGCCGGCTGTGCATCCAGTGGAGGTGCCACCGGTAACGGAAGGAGCGGTGCACAATGCGCCGAGAGGGAGGATGAAAGATGTGCAGGGCATGCCTGGTACACTTGGTGGACTTGCTCTCCGTCTTCTTCAGTTCATATTTGCTGCAGTTTCTCTTTGTGTTATGGCCACTACCAGTGATTTTCCCTCCGTCACGGCGTTTCGGTACGTAATTCTTGAATTTTTGTCTCATTGTATTTGGTTCTGTGTAATTTTGTTTGATGTTGCGATTGTGATTATCTTCAAATATTCGCTTCGCGCGTTTATGAGTCAATGAACTGAAATAAGAATGTTGATTAAATTAAGACGGATTTAGCGTGATTTGGACGTCGTTCGGAATATTTTATCCGTGAAGAATGAAAAAACCTTTCACGTTTCTAGTGGGAAAAAGAGAAGCTATTGTTGAACTTGAAAATGCGTGTTTCTTCGTCTTTTCTTGCTGAAGATTTTGCTCAAGTACAATTGTTTTGTTTTTGTGTGCTTTGTCCATTATATTTGCCGATGAACCTTAAACTCTGTTGATGGCGATACCAATAAAAGAAGTTTGTTTTGTTGGATAATATTATTCCTTGTTAAAATTTGTGATGTTAGGATGTCCTATATGTTTGATCCTCTCATTTCCTGTCAGATATCTTGTTGCTTCTGTTGGATTACAATGCTTGTGGAGCTTTTCATTGGCAATAGTTGATGCATATGCCTTATTAGTTAGGCGAAGCTTGCGGAACTGCACAATGGTTGGTTTGTTCATTGTCGGTGATGCGGTAAGAATATTTTGCATGTGATACTTCCAACGACACTTAGTCGAACTGTATGCATCTTCTATTTGTAGTCTGATATGTCATGTGCAATCCAGGAGCTTGTTAAAGTCGCATAATTCTCATCGAATAGGTTGCAGAGTCTGAGATTGACGTTTAGTTTGATTTGAAACTAAGATTATGTATGGTTTGGAAGAATGAGAATCGAGGTGAAACTTCTTGTTTCATTGTTTGATGTTCCTATTTGTGATTTGTAAGTATGAGCATCCCATTGGAATCACGAGTCTACCATTTGGAAGGAATGAGCCTGATATTGATACCTTATTCTGATAAATACTTTTTGGTAACCATAACATAACATAATATAATTATGTTTATTTCAATTGATGTTTTTATCATAAAAACTAATATAACTTTATTTTATTAAACTTCTTTTGTTGGTATTTGTAATTGTTAATAGAAATAGGGAACTGTGTCCCCTGCAGGTGACATCCACCCTTACATTTTCTGCTGCATGTTCATCAGCTGGGATTACTGTTCTCATAGGCAATGATCTTGACAAGTGTGGCCTGAACCACTGTGCACAGTTCGAGTCCGCCACTGCAATGGCCTTCATTAGCTGGTTTGCTGTTTCACCTTCATTTCTTTTGAACTTTTGGTCATTGGCTTCCCGGTGAGGTTCCATAGCGAGATAGTTTCTTCTTTTTAGTTTTCTTTCAACAACTACTTTTTTTTTTTTTTTGTTTCTAAATTATACTGAACGAATTTGGAAATTTTGATGCACATATGTAGATTTTTGCTGTTTGATTGAGAATTGAGACAGTAATTAGTGAGTAAAACCACTTCGTTTTAACAAGAAATATGTATATGTACTTGTTATATGTTCCTGGTGGTGACATGCTGGGATGTTTCAATCTGTTTCTTACTGTGAGACATCAGCTAGAGAGGAGAACGAAACATTCTTTATAAGGGTGTGGAAACCTTTCCATATCATACGTGTTTTAAAACCTTGAGGGGAAGCCTGGAAGGGAAAGCCCAAAGAGGACAATGTCTGCTAGTGGTGGACTTGGGCTGTTACAAATGGTATCAGAGCTAGACATTGGATGATGTGCCAGCGAGAAGGCTGAGTCTCGAAGGAAGATGGACATGAGGCAGTGTGCAAGCAAGGACGCTGGGTATTGAAGGGGGTGGATTAGAGGGTCCCACATCGGTTGGAGAAGGGAACGAGTGTCAATGAGGACGTTGGGCCTCGAAGGTGGGTGGATTATGAGATCCCACATCGACTGGGGAGGAAAACCTCTGCCTAAAAATCTTGTGGGGAAGCCCGAAAGGGAAAGTCCAAAGAGAATGATATCTGCTAGTGGTGGGGCTTTGGCCATTTCACTTACGTTCTCATATGGAGGTTCTATGGTTACAACATGAGAAAACTAGGGATGTACCTCTCTAGTTTGGAGTATTAGGAGGTCAATAGTGTCGGTCTTGTATGCTACGTCAATTTCTGGTTTGGTTTTCCAAAGCATCGACTTTTGAGATGGTAATGGTTGTCTATTAAATGATACTCGGATCGTCAAACCGTCATTTCTTTTTGGAATTCTCGAACTCCATTGGTATTTCCAAATATTTGAAAGGCCACCAATGTTCTTACACGAGCAAGGGGCCAGTTCTTGATTGAATGTTTTAGATAGACCAAGATTATTGAAAAACTGGTCCGTGAGGTTCATTTTCTCCCCTTATGAGTAATCATTTCATCTTTCAAGAGATATCCATTCTGACTCACCAGGTATCCTTCATATTTTGACAATTTTGTCCCAATTTCAAATGGACTTGTGGCAGGTTTAGAATTGAAGATCGGCATATCGTTTTGAGAGATGAAATTTTTTTCATCCAACTTGTTTACTTCAATGCCGAAATATATGGCACAAGCTCAATATCTATGATAGCATCTAAACTGTGTCATTTATAGACCACAATTGATGCTAATCCCAATACTTTCATGCGTTTGTTTTTCTAGGAATCGACTAATCTGAAGCAAATTGGAGAGTTTCAAAAGAATCGAGATTAAAAGGAGCCAATTGGACTTAGTAGAAGATGAAGATCAAACATGATAGCGTCTCAATGCTCGTGCTGAAAACTTTCAAGCCAAATCATCTGTGTAGGTACCGTCTCGACGCTGGAGTAATTTCCTCGACTCTCTTGCTCAACGCTCTCAGGGTCTAAACGCTCTAAACATGTGCATGCTCCCCCTTTCATAACAACGTCATGACCCTACCTTGCCTAGCTTACTAGTTATTTTTTTGTTTATATATAATTTATAAGGGCAACGATTTAATGCTAGCATGATCCATATAAATTTCTCGCTTTCTCTAGAGCAAATAAATCTCATGTTTTATATTTAGATTCTTAGATACTTTTTGAGAATTTTTGTTTGACTATTCCATGAACTTTTGTAATAATCAAACCATGTCGAATTTTCGCTTATATTACATGGTGAATGACCAAAGTTAGTGTTATTGATTTAAGTATCGGTTCAAGTTTGATTGTAAGTCTGGTGCTTAGGACCATAGTGCAATCTTCTTAATCCAAGTATTCGATGCTCTTCTTTAATATTGATTTAATTGATGCTTTGATTGATATTGATTGCTTGTTTGTTTATTATGTATGATTATATATCTGAAATTGTCAAACGAACAAAGTGAATAAGATTTTATTTTTAAACATCTCCATTCAAGAATGTTCATCATTGGTTCTTTCTTTTAGCAACATATGAAATACCCAAGATTAGAAAAGAAAGATCGACTCCATCCTTAGAACGGTGGCATTTTATGTAACATGCTATGGTCTCGACGCCCTTACGAGGTAATGATGAATTTCACTCGCTCTAAACTTAACAATGGTAAATTGTCAAGTGGATGAGGATTAACTCTAAGAGGTACATGATGAAGATCCCAAACTTTAGTGAAATTTAATTCAATGTGACACTCGAGTAAATGAGGGGCATATAAACGAATCGAGATCACATCCAAAAGAGAGTAATCTTGAAAATAAGATAATTAAGAAAGACTTAAAAGGACTCAAAGTCACTATCTATATAAATTAGGTGCATTTTCCTTTTCGGCGACTCACTCCTAAGAACTTTGGTTAAGTATGTTTTATTTAGAGCAACTTTATGTTGGGTAATATTTTAGAAATTTCCTAAGATCACGTGAAGACAAGACGTCCTCGAAGAACTCATGTTGGATCATGTCATAGGGAATGCCAATTCCAAATTCTGGGCTTGGGTTATTTCAATAAACCTCCAAGAACAAAAACTATGGATCGGCCATTAACTAAGAATAATTGCTCTTTAAATAAAAACGACACCAACACATAGCTCGGTTCAAGTTTACCAATCGACTTTAGCAACAAATGAAAACCAATCATTTAAATAGAAGAAAATAACAAAAACATTGAACAAACCAATCAAAATCAAATTACACTTTCAGTTACAGGCGACCATTCATCGTTTCATTTTCCCATAAAGTAAAAGTTATATAATATGGCAAGTAGTTAGTGATTACCAATCTCTATATCTCTCTAATAAATTAGGGTTTTGAAGAGGTTGGTGGAGCCATTATTTAATGTTGTTGACCGTCAAAGTATAAGAGAAAAGCAACGAACGTTCCTCGAATTCTAGGTTTCCAAATTTACATCTAACAGTTATTAAGAAACATTCACGTGAAAGTTTCATCGAATGATTTTTTTGAATTGGTACGACTTTCTTCACGAGATATCTATCCTCTACGAACTCACCTTTGCGTGGGAAAGAAGAATTTGGATCAGAAAAAACGAGTGATATTGTTCTTTTCTCCATGTTTCTGCTAAAGGTCGGTGAGTAACGGTCAGTTCTTCATTTCTCTATCTCGAGGTTAACATCATGCAATTTTCTTGCCACCCTTGCATCTATACCTATAAAATTACCTTAAATTTGTCCAAGTTTCAGAGATAGAGAGACAGAGATTTAGAGAAGTTTCAGAAGAATGTCGAGTGTTGATGATGAAAGAAGACTGTATGAATGTGCAAGGAAATACCAAATAATTGTGAAACAGGTACCAAGAAATAAAATCATCCTCACTTGTTCTTGTTTTCTTAGGTCATGTATTATTTTCATATAAAGCCTTCGATAATCTTTACATTCGTGTATCTATATGATTTAGTTTGATCAATTGGTTGAGATGATGGACAACAAGAAGAAGGCAATGAGACTGTCAAAACGACGACGAATGTTTTCTGTAAGAGCTTTCTTCGACCTTAATTTATTTAGGTTTTATTCGATAATTGTTTTGTTTTAGTTTCTTCGCCATTTTAGTATCACTTTTCTTAAGGAAAATTTTGAATTATTCGTTAAGTTTTTTTAATTGTTACAGAACTCAGACAATAATTTGTCAACCACCGTGACTCAACCAACTTCAGATTCTCAACAAAATTGTAACGATGATGAAGCATTTGTGCAAACCCTCACAAGATTCCTACACGAACTCAAGACCGATACGACTGAACTAGATAGCTCGACCCGTACCCTAAACTAATACTATCAGGTTATTTTTCTTCCTTTTACAGGTCCAACTCCAACAAGGAATTGAGAAATTCAAACCTATGTCTTTTATGGTACCTTACCCTCTTACTTTTTGATATAACACAACCAAAATGATATGAATCAATGTTTTTTTTTTTTTTTTTTTTTTTTTTTTTTTTTTGGTGAAGAAATGAAAAATAATAGAAAAGTGACAAAAGGCTATTGATGGGCCTTATTCCTCATGTCGAGCAAATCCCATTAAAGGTCCAAAAGGTCTCAAACTCTCGACCTCAAGATAACACGAAGCTATGAGACCTACGCGCTAGCCAACTGCACCACCACCCCAAGTTCAACACCAAATATAAGCTATGAGACCTACGCGCTAGCCTTGCACCACCACCCCAAGTTCAACACCAAATATAAGCTATGAGACCTACGCGCTAGCCAACTGCACCACCACCCCATGTTCAACACCAAAATGTTATATTTTTGGAAGAAATGAAAAATAATAGAAAAAGTGGCCAAAGGCTTTCGATGGGCCTTATTAGCCCATTAAAGGCCCAAAAAGAGACCTTACATTTCAATTTAATGAACCAACAACGAACGAAAAAAAAATAGGGGTGAGAGAGGCTCGAACTCTTGACCTCAGGATAACTCGAAGCTATGAGACCTACGCGCTAACCAACTGCGCCACCACCCCTGGATGTTCAACACCAAAATGTTATATTTTTGGAAGAAATTAAAAATAATAGAAAAAGTGGCCAAAGGCTTTCGATGGGGCTTATTACCCATGTCGATCAAAGTCCACTAAAGGCCCCAAGGAGACCTCACATTTAAATCGAATGAACAAACAACGAAAGTGAGAGAGGCTCAAACTCTCGACCTCAAGATAACTCAAAGCTATGAAACATACACACAAACCAACTGTGCCACTACCCCTAGATGTTCAACAACATAATGTTATGTTTTTGGATGAAATGAATTTTGAGGTTTTCTTATGCCAAAATGAGAGATGCCATATCATTTGAAGAGGGAAACCAAACGTTCGTTGTAAGGATGTGAAAATATCTCTCTAATAGATACGTTTTAAACCATTGAGAGGAAACACGAAACCCAATCTCATTGGGACATTTACTAGCGGTGGTTGCTAAATGAGGCCAAAAAAAAAGGTAAAATCTCATTGGGAAAACAATGCTTAATGTTACAACATCGACCAAGACTAGAGTGAATGATGCAACGCTTACAGTCAACCATCCAAGATAGGTCAACATCGACAATATTGACGTCAACATCTTAATAAGCTAAATTAAATTGAATGTCTTCATAGCATGAAAATTATACCCGTTTTTATAAAAGAAATTCAATTTTTTCCAACTTAACCCTAATTTAAATATGGCAATTTTTACCATCTGTTAAAAAAAAAATTTACTAAATAATTTTGTTAAAGATAGCAGGTTTTAATAAAAATATTTACTGTAATGTTTTTTTTCTTTAAATCCTATAAATTTATATTATATCTAAGCTTTATAATTTATTAAATGCATATGAAAACATTTTTAAAAACTATTTTTTAAAACGAAAATTCAAAATTTTGAAGTAAAAGTCAATATAAGAAATTGTTTATTTTTCCCCTCAAATATTTAAATACTTCAGAATAGAATGTGAAAGTCGGGAGAAAAAGGACCAATGGGCCCAAAAGCCCAAAGGCCCAAAAGGCAAGAAAAAGTCCGGGAGAAGGGAGGAGAAATGAGTAATTTCACAACTCCCACGCAATCTGTAAAACCCTAGATTTTATAGGCTCTTTGAAACCCTTACTCTGCCTTCGATCTTGTATCTTCGCCTCCGCCTCCGCCTCCGCCCGTCTCCTCTCTGAACTCAGGCATCCAATTAGCCTCTTTTCCATATTCAATTATGCCTCCCAAGTTCGATCCTTCTCAGGTTGTCGATGTTTTTGTCCGAGTCACCGGAGGTGAGGTCGGAGCGGCCAGTTCTCTCGCTCCTAAAATCGGTCCTCTAGGTCTCTCACCAAAGAAGATCGGAGAGGACATTGCTAAGGAGACGGCTAAGGAATGGAAGGGTCTTAGGGTTACTGTTAAGCTTACTGTCCAGAACCGTCAAGCCAAGGTCTCGGTTGTTCCCTCAGCTGCTGCTTTGGTCATCAAGGCCCTCAAGGAGCCTGAGCGGGACCGCAAGAAAACTAAGAACATCAAGCACAATGGTAACATCTCGCTTGATGATGTGATTGAGATCGCTAGGGTTATGAGTCCCAGGTCTATGGCTAAAGATCTCAGTGGAACCGTCAAGGAGATCCTCGGTACTTGCGTTTCTGTTGGTTGTACAGTCGATGGTAAGGACCCGAAGGACTTGCAGCAGGAAATTACTGATGGGGATGTAGAAATTCCCCAGAATTGAGAGTAACTTTTCGTATTGGAGCTTACTTTGTAGTTTCAGTTTTGGGATTTGAAACGTGTTTGTTTTTATTGCCTTCAAATGACTATCTCCGGATACAATGATTTATTTAATGTGGGAAATATTGCTTCGTTTCGGGGATGGAAGCATTGTGGTTCCGTTTTGATCTGAAGTTTAGACTGTTTTTATTCAAATCGTTGCATTTCCGGTTGTACTTTATGAGAATTTTTTTTACGACTTCTTTAATCTATAAGCGCAGGGCATTAGTTTTCGGTCTGGAAGAGTTGCCATTTTTTCATTCTATGGTTGTTCATTGATCTTTTATAAGTGTTCTCGTTATAATTGAGCATTATATGGATTGTTTGTTATGCTTCTGAGCATAATATTTCTCTCTTAGAAACAATAGATTCCAGGTGTATTGTGTTGGGTGATCTGTTTGTTCTTAAATACGCGGCCGAGTGTAGACAGAAACATCCGTGAGACCTTATTCTTTTTTATTCATTTAGCTATATCTTCCTAAGTTTGGTCCTGATTATTGCACCCCATTTGATTATTTTTA